CTGAGGGGTACCCCAAAGGGGCCTGGAAGTGCATGGGGGCACCCAAAGGGACCTGAGGGGTACCCCAAAGGGACCTGGAAGTGCATGGGGGCACCCAAAGGGACCTGAGGGGTACCCCAAAGGGACCTGGAAGTGCATGGGGGCACCCAAAGGGACCTGAGGGGTACCCCAAAGGGGCCTGGAAGTGCATGGGGGCACCCAAAGGGACCTGAGGGGTACCCCAAAGGGACCTGGAAGTGCATGGGGGCACCCAAAGGGACCTGAGGGGTACCCCAAAGGGGCCTGGAAGCACATGGGGGCACCCAAAGGGACATGGAAGCACATGGGGGGCACCCAAAGGTGGATGAGGGTACCCCAAAGGAACCTGGAAGCACATGGGGGGCACCCAAAGGCTCAAACGCACATGGGGGCCCCCCAAAAGGTCCAGAAAGGTACTGGGGACTCTTGGAGGGGACACAAGGATGGGGGAGCAGGGAGCAAAAGCAGCATCCCCAGGGAACAATGTCTCTGCCAAGGATTATCCCACGTTCATCCCACTTGGAGCCACATTTTGGGGTTAGAACCTTCCAAACCCACTCTAACGGGGTCCCCCCTGGCTGGGTCAGTGGTGGCAGCTCTGCTCTGACCCCCCCAACCCCGAATCACTGCTTTTTGCTCCTCACCCCCCCCAAATGATGGGCTTTGGTGGGCAACAAGTGGTTAAAAGATCGTCCTTAAATCCCAGAGCTGGAAACCAGGATCTGGCAGCAGGAGCCTCTGTGCAGGCCGGGATCCAGGGACGCTGCTGCTGCCCCAGAACCAGCTTCTCGCCTCTGCTTTGGGCCAAAAAGGGGTGGAAAGAGACACAAATTGTTGTTAAAATCCAGATTTGGGGGGGCTGGGACTTAAAAAGGTGCCAAATCCCTGGAATTCAGGGTTGGTTTGGGGAAAAGAACGGATTGAAAAGGGATTGGTATAGAAGGAATGGGGTTTGTGGAGTGTGCTGGAAGTGGCCATGGTTGGACCTGCTCCATGGAAGGTCCCTGCCCAGGGCAGGGGTTGGAGCTGGAGGAGCTTTAAGGTCCCTTCAACCCAACCCATTCCATGCTTCTATGATTCCATGATCATATGAATCCATGATTCCGTGATTATATGAATCACTGTTTCCATAATTCCTTGATTCCATGATTTTATGATTGCATGATTCTACGATTTGATGATTCCCTGACCCCATGATTCCCTGATTCCATCATCCTATGATCCTATGATTCCATGACTCCACCATCCTATGACATCCTATGACCGCTTTACTGCATCCCACAGGGATTCAGAGCACCCCACAGGGCACCGGCGCATCCCAAGCCCATCGGAACACCCCGTTTTCCCCATGGAACCCCCGATGGAACCCGCGTCTCTGTGACATCAGCCCCAGCACCAAGGGACCTGCACCCGGCCCCGGTGGCCCCGGCACAGTCGTGCGTTGGGCGCGGTGGTGGTGACACTGGTGACACTGGTGACACTGGTGACAGTGAGTGGTGGTGACAGTGGTGACAGTGGTGACACGGGTGACAGTGAGTGGTGGTGACAGTGGTGACAGTGGTGACAGTGAGTGGTGGTGGCAGCTCCTCGGTGTCACTCTCTGGTGGCAGCGATGCTTTTGCTCCGTGTCCTCATCCTGCTGGCGCTGTCGTGGCCGGTCCACGGCTCATGGGAGAGCTGTGGGTGAGTGGCACCAGCTCATGGGGTTCCATGGGGGGGTCCCGCTGGTCACCCCCGAGCTCACCCCGGTGCTGCTGGGGTGGGACTGGGAGCACCAGCGCGTTGACAGCACAGCTCGTCTACGGGCCACCCCATGGGCTTCCTTGTCCTGCAGCACCCTATGGGGAGGGATGATGATTGACCTTCATCCCCTCCAGCACCAAGTAATGGGCTTCTGCTTCCAGAGGGAGCTGTGGGACCCGGCCCATGGCTGCTTACTATGGGATGTCGCGCATCGTCGGGGGCATGGATGCGCAGCCGGGCTCCTGGCCGTGGATCGTCAGCATCCAGATCCCTGTGGGCACGGGCTTCGTACACATCTGCGGAGGGTCCCTCATCCCCCCCCAGTGGGTCCTCACGGCTGCCCACTGCTTCCTCGAACACAAGTAAGGAGGAGAAGGGCACGGGGAGGGATTCCCGCAACAGGGAATAGCCAGCACCATGTGCTGCTCCCATCCCATTCCCTTCCCCACCCCGTCCTGGACACACTCAGGAGAAGGCTGGGTTCGTGCTCGCTGCCTCCAGCAGCTTCCAGCTGGACATTCCTTGAGCCTAAGGCGTGCTGGGGCAGTGCTTCCCCTTGGGAAGCAGCACCATCCTATCAAACCAGCCACTGTCAACCACCCCGTACTGAGTGAGAATCATAGAATCACGGACTAGTTAGGGTTGGAAAGAACATTAACATCATCTAGTTCCAACCCCTGGCCATGGGCAGGGATGCCTCACACTAGAGCAGGTTGCTCCAAGCCCCTGTGTCCAACCCAGCCTTAATGGGATGGGGCACCCAAACCTTCTCCATTCAGCCCATCCCAGTGTCCCAGCACTTTCCCAGGGAAGAGCTTCTTCCTTCTCTCCAACCTGAACTTCCCCGTTGCAGTTTGAACCCACCAGCCCTTGTCCTATCCCTCCAGCCCCTGCTGAAGGTCTCTCTTCTCCCCCCACCTCCCAGCTTCACCATGGATTGGTTCCTGATGATCGGAATCACTGACCTCGTGTGGTTAGGTCCCGAGACCCAAAAACGCTGGATCAGGAGGGTCTTCATCCACGAGCGTTACACCAACATCTCGGACGGCCACGACATCGCGCTGGTGGAGCTGGACCAGCCTGTCCAGTGCGGCTACTACGTCCAACTCGCCTGCTTGCCCGACAAGTCGCTGCAGGTGGGCCGGCTCTCCGAGTGCTACATCAGTGGATGGGGCAGCAGGACGGCCAGAAGTGAGTGTCCAGAGAGTCCTCGAGCCCTTGGGATGCCGGGCTTGAGGCTGCATCAAGAGATGGGCAGGACCCAGCGTGGAATCATGGATGGGTTGGAAGGGAGCTTGAAGCTCAACAAGTTCTAACCAAGGGGCAGGGACACCTTGGAGCAGGTTGCTCCAACCTGGCCTCGAACACTGCCAGGGATGGAGCATCCAAACCTTCTCCACTCAACCCATCCCGGTGTCCTCATAGTGATGAACTTCTCCTTATCTCCAACCTGAACCTCCCCTGTTGCAGTTTGAACCCATCACCCCTTGTCCTGTCACTGCTGAAGGCCCCTCTCCACATCCCTGCAGCCCCTGGAAGCTGCTCTGAGCTGCTTCTCGCCCCCAGCCCCACCGCCCCCTAGGGGAGCTGCTCCAGCCCCTGCTCATCCTCATGGCCTCCTCTGGCCTCACTCCATCCATTCTCCAGCCAACCCTGATCCCGTTGTGTCCCCGCAGCAGGAGGATCATCCCAGACGGCCCTGCAGGAGGCCAAGGTCCGCCTCATCGACGTCAACCTCTGCAACAGCAGCCAGTGGTACAAAGGGTCCATCAAGAACCACAACCTTTGTGCTGGGTACCCCCAGGGTGGCATCGACTCCTGCCAGGTAGGGACGTGCCACGGCGGCTTCCTTCTCCTCTCTCATCTGCAGGTCCTTGCTCTGTGTCCCCCTTTATCCCGGCTTAGGAAGCACATCCAGTGCTCCCGGTCCAATTCCCAGTGCTGGAATACGCACACATCCATCATCCCTGTGCAGAGATCACAGAATGAGCCAGGTTGGAGAAGACCTTTAAGAGCATCAAGTCCAACCACTGCTGATTCCACCACTAAACCATGGCATGATCATGGATTCATGGAATGGGTTGTGTTGGAAGGGAGCTTAAGCTCATCCAGCTCCAACCCCCCTGCCACGGGCAGGGCCCC